GTTTAAGTTGGGATATTTTAGGTTTTTTGAATTTTAAATTATGTGATTTTTTTGTTCCTAATTGGCTATTTAAAGCCTTGTTATGCTTAATAAAATTATTGAGAAACTTTTTCAATCAATACTTTAAATCTTTTTGCTGCCCCATCTTTTAAAAAACCAACAGTGATATTAAGAGCTTCATTGATCTTAACGTATCTGTAAGTTCTTCCAAAGAACCATTTTCAAATCATTTTAAACCAAATATCAATTTTTAAACCCATTTTCAAACATGGCAAGCAACAGTCTCTCTTTGAATGCCCCCCACAAACTTTCACTGGCGAAAACCATCGGATGCTCCGTGAAAATAAAATCATATCTTAAAACCTATGATTTGTTGAATGTTGTAATGGAAGAACAATCCTTACGAGCAATCCCCGAAAATTCTATCATTGTCCAGAATCATATACTTTCAAAAGAGATTTCAGATAAGACAAGGTCACTAAAGGTGTTTTTTATGCACAAAACCATAAGACGAAAAAGAAAGAAAAAAGAAGAAAAAGAACTGCACTACAAACGTGTGCAATTTCAGCGATGCTCAAAACAATCCTCAAGCACAAACAACAGAAGCAAGAATTGAGGAGGAGCAACTTTTTAAATTGCAGCAACTGAAGCAAAGGAGGAGTGTTGAAGTTTTGTTGCTTTCAGTTACTGCAATAACGTTTTTAGCATAATAAGTTGCTTAGTTTTATGATGAATTTCGATTTTAAATTTCTATTAGATAGTTTAAGTTAGTTGAGATATTTTAGGTTTTTTGAATTTTAAATTATGTGGATTTTTTGTTCCTAATTGGCTATTTAAAGCCTTGTTATGCTTAATAAAATTATTGAGAGACTTTTTCAATCAATACTTTAAATCTTTTTGCTGCCCCATCTTTTAAAAAACCAACAATATTTCACAAAGTATTCACCATGACCAACATCATGCGGCATTCTAACAGTAAGTTCTCTACCTATTAAGCAGTATACTGAAAAGCGCTTTTCCCTGTTTTATTTCCAAGTTCCGTAAATAATATTATCATTTGTTTTCTTTGTAGCTTGAAGTTTTTCATTTATGAACTTCGTGTAGACTTCTGTTATTATTCCACACTAGATAATAAGGACTATAACAGCCAATGCACAAGGCTCCCCAATTGCTTGGTATATCGAGGCTTCAACATACATAGCCTCGTCCATGACTGGCGAAAGGCTCTTTTAAAACTTGGTCACATGACCTCCAGGTCAAACCAACTTGAGTTTACTCGTCTGTGCGGAAGGCTCACATTCTTTCATTCTACCTTTCGCTTCTGACTAATATATAGATTGCTGCAGCTTTGGCTAAAAGAATTTTCTAGTGCTGATGATTTCTGTCTGATATGTGATTTCTTTGGCTAAATTTTTTCAGGCAGTTAGAGTTGGAATGAATGCAGAAAAGAGTGGTGATGTTGGACGTATTATGATTGTTGCAATTACTGATGGTAGAGCTAACATCTCTCTTAAAAGATCCACGGATCCTGAAGCTGAAGCTTCTGATGCACCCAGACCTTCTTCCCAAGAGCTGAAGGTATATAACTAAATTGACATCCTTTAAAAACCTCGGTACACTAACTTGAAGAAAAATTGTTTGCTTTGACTTGAAATTGGAAAAGCCTACTCGTAGTTACACTATACCTCATATTTGGCACAAGTTACCTGTATCTTTTAAATGGAGTAATATTGTCAGTAAGGATTCATATAGCTGATCCAAACTTGTTTAGAACTGAGGAGTAGTAGTTGTTGTTGTTGTATATGCATCATTTAAATATTTGAATTTTCAAATTAATGAACTAAGAATCGTTTCTTCTAAATTGATATCAAATGGACAATTGGCAAAAGCATTAGCGACATCAACTATTTCACCTTAAAGGCACAAATTGGGAATTTTAGTTTTTGAAGCAACAAAGGGGTGTACTTAGAGTTTGAGATTTCTATGAGACTCAAAACCATGTGCTCAAATGTAAGGTTAAAAGTCATAAAAGATCATCTTCACCTGTGTATAAAGGCATATAGAGGAACAAGTCGTCATGTTTTTCAGTGTCACAACTTATTGAAGGTTTATTCCAATGCTTTTGTAGGATGAGATTCTCGAGGTGGCTGGTAAAATATACAAAGCAGGAATGTCTCTCCTCGTCATAGATACAGAGAATAAGTTTGTTTCTACAGGTTTTGCCAAAGAAATCGCGAGAGTAGCTCAAGGTTTGTCGTCTACTAGTTTTGTTTCATATAATTCTTCCAAATGCTACAATATCTAACGAATGTCTTCTGAACTGTTTGTTGCACAGGTAAGTACTATTATTTACCAAATGCTTCAGATGCCGTGATATCTGCAGCAACAAAGGATGCATTATCAGCATTAAAGGAATCTTGACCTAAACTCGATCGAATTAATTGTAAATGTTGTTTTGAGTATAGATTATTGAGAGGATATACGAGCATGCTTGAAAATTCTCATCTTTTGTTGTACTAAATACTAATTGAACTTATTTGTCAAATATGCAATTAGGGTAATGAGGATTCTTTTCTTTTCATTTAATTGAACATTACTTACTCATTCACAATTACTATCACAAGAAAGCCACCACTATTTCTAGAGGGGCTTATGCACGCTACGACTTTCTTATGTTATGGGGTTATCAAGAGTCTTGGAAAGAAGAAGGATATGTTTTCCCTTATTTACACGAGTTTAAACAATTTGAGACTAACACCTTGGGTTATATTATTTTATGAATATGATATATCTTGAGGCTCCTTAACTTATACCTTGCCAATTAAGATAGTAAAATCGTAACAAATGAGTAGTTGAATTTTTTTAACAAGTAGTCTACATGAGTATGCCAATGCTGAAATGAAAATGATAAGTTTAAATTAACATGATGCAAGTCAATTGAGAAATAAGAACGATTTATTGCAAGATTATTTCCTCATTATTAGCTTCTAACTTTCAAGAAAGGAAAGTTAATTTCTAACTATCACTTGAGAACATTTATTTTTGAATAAGGCCTTCAGCAAAATTTGCCATTAATACAAGATCTAGTTGTTTTCTATTCCTATCCAATAAGTCAGGCGTTGTCTTGTCACCAAATGCATTGTGACAGTCGCTCACAAATTTGGGACACTTGAAAAGTGAATTTTCTAAGGCATTATAATTTTGTTGAGCTAATGATAGGCTAGCATCTTGAAGCTCGGTTGACAAGAATCCATAGCCACTATCACAAATAGCGTACAAGTTTTGGATTTCTGTGTCTTTTGAACTTGCTTTTGATTTCTCTATGAAAATGCGATTGTCAGTAGCATGTTGTAATGATTGGCTGATAGCAACTCGCGTTATTTCAGTAGGAGTATATGGATGATTAGGTATATTTTGGTGGAAAGTATTCAAACAGAATGTAGGATTTTGTACTTTTCTACATATACCCGCTACCAATGCCTCGCCATCGGCGTCGACACACAAACATGTTTTGAAGTAGAATAAGTTTGCAACAAGTGCTAGAAGAAGGAAACATGAAGCAAAACAAGATGTCATTTTCTCTAGTAATTTCAGTTTGCATTTTTGAAGTGAATGCAAGTGGATATATAAAGGAATGACAAGGAGCAAAATAGGAATAAACTTGAATGTACAAATTTGTAACTATATTATCTATTGCAAGTATCTATTGCATGTATAGAAACAACTTTAAGTTTTTCCATCTTTAGCTTGCAATCATAGTTGTATTTCTACCTAGTTACTTAAGTGAAAAGGGGTCAATCTTCATGTTAGATTATAAGTTTCAAGGTAAGTTGATAGTAATTACTAACAATTTTAGTAACAAAAGTGCAGTGTTAGATTTTGTTATCATCTAATTTAAAGACAAGGTGGGTTGCTTCTGATGCTAAGCGCCCTCCACTTTCAACCAAGAGGTTGTGAGTTCGAGTCACCCCAAAAGTAAGGTGGGAGTTCTTGGAGGGAAGGATGCCGAGGGTCTATTGGAAACAGCCTCTTTACCCCAGGGTAGGGGTAAGGTCTGCGTACACACTACCCTCCCCAGACCCCACTAGTGGGATTATACTGGGTTGTTGTTGTTGTTGTATGTGAATGTGCTAAATAAAATTATATTACTGCAATATCTCCATATGTAGATGTTGAATAAGGTCAATATTAACTCCATGTACCAACTTGTAGTATATTTATTACCTTATGTGTAGTGAAACAAAGTACATAAAAGCATAACAATAAACAACCATGGGTTACTCTTCATTACTCATACCTGCAAATTGACCTCATGCTTTTCTGATTTAATTCTTGCCTTTTAATATTTGGGTTAATGACTCAAAACATATACACAACATTTTAAACTTGTCAAAAAAAAAATTCTTTTAGACACATCAAATGAAGTCATGACCTATAGTCCAACAAATTAGGCTTGTAAACCATTATTTTTGTTAAAATCCTTGTTATTTTAGATTTTAACAAGTTCACGCGCTCAAGATATGTGAGTCTCAGGTTGTGTCATATGAGTGCCTCGTGTCTAATAGGCACATATTGCATAGGCATTCGGTGGCCAACATATAATGGCCTCAGTTTAGGTGTCTAAATAAAATTTTGTTTTACAAGTTTAGGAGATTTTCTACACATTCAACCTGTATTAATTGTTTGGTTTCATGCTTTGATGCTTCTAATTGATAGGCTATCAATTTGAGGTACCCATTTAATTCGGTATAAGCTTGGGAAAGAAAACAATCTTGGGTTTAAACTATACATAAGGATTTAGGTTAGTTAAGGAATTAATTAAATTAGAATGTATGAATGAGCCAAGTGACATTTCAGGTTCAGGGCATCCCAATTGTATTGACTGGGATGACAATTTCTCTTTTAATTACGGTCAAATACTTTAAGTTACATCATAATCTTTAGGCATTCCATAAAAAGATATAAACGATAATAAACACAAAAAAAATGGAGAAGGAAGATGATAAACTGAGATTTGAAATTAATAGAACATCCATGAAAGTCATGCAAATGATACACAATTAAGAAAAGGGGCGACCCGGTGCACGAAACATCCCGCGTTTATGCAGGATCCGGGAAAGGACCACAGCCCAAGGGGGTGTGATGTAGGCAGTCAACCTTAATGCAAGCATTAATGGATAATTCTACGGCTCGAACCCATGAGTTACAAGTCACACGGAACAACTTTACAACTTTACAAACCGTGGCCTTTAGTTCGAACCCGTGAACCCGTTGCTCCAAGGCTCCCTTCCAGGAATCAATATCAATGTCCACCAACAAATCTTCACACTCCATCTGATACAAACTATTGGAATCAAGATGATTACATCTCATACGTAATACGAAAAAGAGTTGAAACACCAGAAGGCAAATACCATTGTGGGATCTGCTACTTTCACTACACCGCGCTTTAACTAACCAGTGACATTCTTAATTATCCAAGGGTGCTCCAAGATCTTTCGAAGAGAGAGCCTTTTCGAAGAGTCCTTCACAAGAAGCTGCAAAGGGCAAAGGTAAACAATCATTAGAGTGAAGGAGTGCAAGCTATTGCATGTCATTGTTTGCATAGACAAGTACTAATCAATTTACCTGGCTAATGAGATTCTTAGCATCGGCAGACACTTCAGGTGTTGGGGGGAAGCTGAGGTCTACCTTCATAATTCTGTATTACTTTAAGTTAGTACATTTTGATTTTCCTGTAAAAGTTACAAGACGACAGAAGCAGACCAATCCTTACCTTCTGAATGTGTCGGTCTGTCTCTCGGCCTCAAATGGAGGCCCGCCATATAAAAACTCATAGCAAAGAATCCCCAAAGTCCAATTGTCAACTGCATAATCATGAGCTTTGTTCTCCACCATTTCTGGTGCTAGATAATCTAGAGTTCCGCACATTGTATGTCTCTTGCTTCTAGATTGTACAGACCACCCAAAGTCTGCAATCTTCAAGCGGCCCTACATTTCGTGTAATAATCTAATTAATACTTTACTCTTGCTATGCAGTGTGTCAATGTTTTCTCAGGTTAAAATTACTGGACAATAGAATCCAGTTTTAGTTGGGACGTCCAAAAAATAACTTCAATATGTTAGCAGGCCGACCCCAAGCGCTACATTATATACATAATCTTACTAGGCCCATCGTAAGAACTCCATTATATATAGTCTTATTATAAACACCTACAGATATACTCCACTGGTCCCGATTGTCATTATCTTAGTTGACTTACCAAAGGAAAAAGAATATTTGAATCAGCTAATATATTAGAGCTCAATGAACATGCTATGAAATAATGATTGAAAGACCTGGAAATGATACAATGACATCACAACAACAACATACCCAGTGTGATCCCACAAGTGGGGTCTGGGGAGGGTTGGGTGTACGTAGACTTAACCTCTACCTTCTGTGAGGTAGAGAGGCCGTTCCCGATAGACCCTCAGCTCAAGAAAAACGTTTTTCTGAGGATAATGAACGATACCATCTAGACAAATTTTTATTTTTATTTTTTAGACGGGCTAAAATAAATCAAACAAAACGAGATAGATGGAATACACTTAAAGGTGGTGCAACATGATGAAGTCAAGAAACATGATGAAGGCTATACATTTTCTACATGCTGAACTTCAGCTATAGAGAGCATAATGAATTGTACTCTAAGCTGTGTGCATCTCTAGCAAAGTGTTTAGGGTCTTAACAATAGGAAAAGTTCAGTGTGTCTTATTATTTTGTTAACCACAGTTGCAAGAAACAAATCAACAAAATGAAAGTAAGTTATTGACATGCCAATCTCCAGCTTTAGAATTCAGCGACTAAAAGCATTTTGAGCTGTTAGAAAAGAATTTAGGCCATCAACAAGAGGGAGAACTTCCTTGTATCCACCGTTGTCTCTAAACAAAAATACGAAATTCAAGTTTTTCAGTATTTGCTCCTCAAATTTGATTAGTATTTCACTGTTGACAAATGAAAAGGTGGATTGCTCAAACTGTTTTCTCCAATAAGAACACAAATATAACTCTCAGGTTAGCCATATATAACGTTTTCTTTTTTCTTGTTATAGGAAATGGTGTTAACGAAACTTGGCACACGTGGCAAAGGAAGACCGTCAGTTATCAAGATATTACCTCATGATCAAGTAACAGGTTTTCTGGCTTTATATCCCTGTGAATGACATGCTTCTCGTGACAATACGCCAGTGCTTGTGTAAGACTTGCAATATACTACACCAGAACCAACCAAAGTATCAAAAGTTAAAGAATAACATAAAGCAACAAGAAAGAAGTCGAAAATAGCGTTCTCTGCAGAACTATAACAATGTGTATCAAAAGTTAAAGAATAACCTAAAGCAACAAGAAAGAAGTTGAAAACTAACAATAACGTTCTCTGCAGAAACATAACAATGTGTTCATAAATTATATAAATAAAAAAATAAAAAAATGCTGGACTCACAAAAACGACGAGCATGAGAAAATAATATGAATTCACTGTTCAACATTAACCACAGAGGAAATAAAACAAGCAAGGTACCATGAAGAGGAAAATCAGAACTTGATATAAATTCAACCCAAAAATGCGAACATCTTTCAAAGAAACTACTACAAGATCGTATTTTACATGGCAGAAAATAGATAAGGAAAACTCTGAAGCTCTATCTTCTTTGTTTGGGTTAGAGGAAGAGGGAATCAGTTCTTATTGACACAATCTATAGCTCACAACTACGCCAAAAATCTAAGCTCATTTTCAATCCCTAGCTAGTTGAGTCGACAATGTGAATCCTCGCTTTCATTTTGCTCCATTTGGACCCGTCTCATTCCAATATTCAATAATCAAGAGTTCTCTAACACTAGAGGTTATAAATATATACAACACTTACGCCTCAGTCCCAAACAAGTTGTGGTCAGCTATATGGATTCTCACTGACCACTTTTCTCCATTTAAACTCATTCTATGCTAATATTATGCAAATACAAATGAAAAGTATTAAAAGTGTAATATATTTTCTAAACGTATACATCTCCGAAAAACTAAGGGAAAATATAAAATTGGTCAATCGGCCGAAACTAATTGCATTCACTAGCCAAAAAGTGTATAAAATATGTATGTCATATGTATATAATATACATATATACAAAAAATATATATACTGTCGGGTATTAATTTAGGAGCGGCTAAACATATGCATTTCTCAAAAACTAAACCTCTCCTAGAAAGCATAGGACCTACAGTAAAAGTGCTATGTCTAAAACATACTCTCAAGTCTCAACTACTATGCATTACCTATAGATCTTTTTATTACATCGTGTCCAATCTTTTGCTAAGCAAATGTTACGAAAATATGTTTTCAACAAATTAAATAAAGTATAGAAATAAATCATAAGCAAGCAAATTAAGCGTGCTTTTGTTTCTAAATCCTTTTAGATACCGTGGCGGCTTGTTCCTCAGGCAGGCGACCAGTCTTCCTAAGCTCCCTGTAGAGCTCACCGCCATGAGCGTACTCCAAAATCAAGAAAATTCGCTCCTCATCATGGAACCAGCCATAGAGCCTCAGTACATTCGGGTGGCGAAGACTCGTTTGAATCTCCATTTCCCTCTTCAGTTGGTGGTGCAGCCTGTATTTCTCTATTTGCTCCTTGAATACCACCTTTAATGCCACTATAAACCCACTCTGCTCCGGCCAGGTGCCACAAAATTCAAGATCATCAAAACCCAGTTCTTTTTTTCTTATGAATAGTATAATGCACATATGAGTATGACAATAAAAGGTGCAGTACAAATTAAGAAGTCGACAAATAATTTTCCAAGGCCTTATTTGCTAATATTAGAACTAGAGCAGCATTTGATGCACATATGTATTTTCATCAAATCAAAAATTCATCCATATTTTGGTCCTTGCAATTTTTAGCCAAGCACATTTAACTGTGAATTAATTAAAATGTAGTAAATCGTTGGTCCTTTTATATAGAAAAATATGTTATACTTAGATTATTGGGAAAAGGGTCAAAAATACCCTTCTACTATGCGAAAAGGATCATTTATACCCTCTATTATACTTTTGGTCCACCACTATCCCTGACGTTACAAAAGTGGTGCAAAATACCCCTCCTCCGTTAGGGTCCTCCACCATGGCCACCATCATCCCACGTGGACTGACATTTCATTGAGGTGGACGCCACATGGCATGCCACATCACCATCCCAACCCCATTTTACCCTTTCCCCTATTTCTTCTTCCTACACCACCATCTTATCCCTCACCCAACCACTACTGCCATATTTTTCTCTCTTTTTCAATTCAAAAGAAATCACAAAGACCACCATCTTACTTCCATAATACCATTACTGCTGCCACATCTCCTTTCTAAATCACCTCCTCACATTAATTTAGAGCATTTGTCGTCTATCATATTGAAGGAAAACAAAAAGAATGCCAGCCACCGGTCTCTTACTCTATTAGGCAAACTATTAAACTAGAACTAGATCAGATTACTATACAACAACTACTACACCTCCGTCCCAAACAAGTGTGTCACCATCACTGTATTATGAGGATTCATCATGAATTGACAAGTTTTAAGCTGGTTGCCAACGTACTGCAACCCTCTACCTTTATCTAAGATTGGGACCGACAATGCGGGCGAGCTCACACATAAGGAGTAGTAATACAAACTTAACATAAGGCATGGATAATTTGATGATTAATAGTTAATAATTCGTTTAAGTTTATGAAGATTCACAAGCAGAATGATCAAATGTACACATTTTGATTAATTGAAGATTAAATGTGCTTAACCAAATATGACAAGAATCAAAATCAGAATCTCTCACTATTTCAGAGTCTAAAAGTGCATATTTCCTTATTATAAAATTAGATACTAGAAATATCATATGTAATGGTAATATAATGCACATATGTGTAAATTTGAGTATATAGAAAATATGGATTTAAAATTACCTTAACTTCACGAGCCAGGTAAACACGACCGAATTTGCCTTTGCCGAGCGGTTTTCCGATTTCGAAATCGTCGAGCGACCATTGTTTTTGTGGAGTTTTTGGTGGTTGTTTTGGGGGTTTTGGAGGATGAATTTGAGTTTTGGAAGCCATTTTTGCAAAGTGATTTGGAGAAGAAGGGATTTGTAATTCAAATGGGTTTGTGGAGGGAATAGGTGTCAAATTTCTAGTATCATTTCGCGAATCGGGTCAGAATCCATTTCCTTTTCGGGCTGAGCTGAGGTATTATCTTTTTTTCTTTTTAATCGGCTGAGCTGAGTTATGCTATATTTATTTATTTATTTTTAACCATTTTTCTTCATTTTTAAGGAAAAAAACACTTTTCCTTTTTCGACTCATTTTTATAATTTTAAAAAGTAGTTTTTGAACTAACTCTTGATTTGGAAAAGAAAGATATATTTTAATTGTACCATTCTGCAACAATATTTCTTTTTTAAAAAGAGCTTTTTTGAAAAGAATAAATAAATAAATAAAAATGAGGTTTTAGAAGGAAAAAGAAAAAGACATTAACAAAAGGAAAGTTTTTCAGTCAAACACAAGAAGAAAAGTTCTTCCATTCTTTTTTTATACAAAAATTTTTATTATAAGGGGAAAGGGGAAATAGGGGAGGGGATTACATGGTGAAAAATCAAACTCTTATCAACAAAGTGAAAATTTAGGTAGCCAACAATTAAGCTACTAATATTCCCCGAAAAAAAGTTATTCCTTTATTAAAATATTGAAAAAAAAATCTTTTTTTGGTGTATGATTGGAAACGATTTCTTTGTAAAGATGATTTTTTTTTATTTTTTTTACAAAAAACACATTTTATACGAATTTATTTTTTACTCCTCTTTTCATTTTATATGAATCTATTTAATTGTTATACCTTCTTTCATGAATATTACTATATCTTGAGGCTCATTCTTAACTTAAACCTTGCCAATTAAGATGATAAGTAAAATATTGTGCTCTAGACATTTTTTTTAATTTCCTTTTTTGGTCATAAAGATTGAATAAATAAAGATATAAATTTAAAAAAGAAAAGAATATACTTTATGGAAATGAAATTAATTAAACTTTGGCAAAAAAAAAAAAAAAACTAACATAAGAAGAAGTTGGGGATAGAGAAAAAAATATCACATTTTATTGCTCAAAAACTAATTCACAAGCTAACAATTTCTCTTAATACTAATTCAAGAACACTAATAAACACTAAACTAAAAACAATAATCTACTTCTAAGCTAAACATTTTTTTCTTTTATTTTACTAAAAATAAAAAAATAAAGTTCAGTAATCATCGGTGAAAACTAACTTGAACTGGAAATGAAAGCTTTCCATTTCCAATCACAAAATTATGTCCACCAGCAGCCAAAAGATTATAAGCTCTATAATTCACTATTCCCAAACTTTTGCAAGCATTTAACACAAAATCAACCTTCTTTTTCTCTCCAATTTTCACAAAAACCTTCTTAAAACTAATCAATTGTTTAAGTGGAGCTTCAGCAATATCTTCAGGTGGAATCCAATAAACCATTAAAACATCACTTCCATCTTTTTTCCCAATATTCTCTACTTCAATCGAGAAATCGAAATTCAGATCGTCCCCACATTCCAAGTCGTCGATTGATACTGCAGGACATGGTGGCACGTGAGTGCCAGCAGTGTAGTTCAGATCGCGACAGTGCTGAAATTTGTTGAGTTTTACTTGGATTTTTTGTCGTGCTGATAATAAGTTGTAGGTGAAATTCGTGTAGCTAATACCATATCCAAATGGATAAACAATTGATCCATTGTAAAATTTGTAAGTTCTACCGGGGTAGCCTAAGTTGTCAATTGGCCTTAATGGCATTGAAGTCATTGGTAACATATCCACATAACTATTTTCATGCCATGTTAATGGTAGTTTTCCTCCTGTAAAAAACATAACACATAAATAATAAAGGGGTAAATATTAGTATTCAATTCATCAACTCTTGAATAAAAGTTTTTCAGAAAAAAAAAATGTGGAAGGCTTAGCTTGTTGTGTTTTTCTTGGAAAATAAGAATCATAAAATTGGAAATTAAAACTAAAAATATAAATCACGCGTATCAATTGCATATTACATGTTACAACAAGTAAAACTATATTATAAATAACGTGTTATATAATAGGTAAAACTACATTGATAGTATAAAATTTCTTACGTATTATATCGGTTTTGTCAATTCAATTCTTGAATAGAAGTTTTAGATAAAGAAAATGTGAATGCAAATAAGACACATCAATTAAACTGGAAACTAACACCAAAAGTTTAAAAGTTTTAGCCAAACATTGACATGCAGGTATTATCTTGAAAAAAAACAAATTTTATCACTTTGATCCTTCCAATTGCGAAAATCTATTGAAAAAATCATCAAATAACATTAATTATAAGGGTATATATAATTAAATTACTCTTATATTTTCTTTAATTGAATAATTAACGCGATCATAAGCAAGGGGGATCAAAGAAAGAAGAGTTAATACAATAATCTTGATTATCTAAAGTGACAATACATAGTTTTGACCTTCTTCTTTTTTTAAAACACTACATAGTATAACAATATACATATAATATACATATTGTATACATAATTAGAGTATAAATTATGTAAAGCAAAAATACATAATTTTAACCTCTTTTTTTTTGTTGAAAAGCCTACATGGTATAGTGGCTCTAAAAATAACAGCCAGCAAAATGTATATTTTTGTATATTAATATATAATATACATATAATATACATATTATATACATAATCAGTGTATATTTTACGTACCGGGATTATAACTTCCAAAAACAACATCAGCAATTGCACGACCACCTTCTTCACCAGGATATCCAGCCCAAATAATACTTTTAATCTTAGGATTATTTTTGGCAAATGAAATATCAACACCACCAGCAGACATAATTACAAGAATAACAGGACCTTTTGAAACTTGAGCAACTTGATTTATTAGTTGAGTTTGGTAGCCAGGAAGTAAAAGATCAACTCTGTCTAAACTTTCTGCTTCAACACTTAAATCTAATCCCACAACTAAAACAGTTGCATCTGCTTTTTTAGCAGCTTTCATTGCTGGGAATATTAAGCTCTCATTTTTGCACAAAATTTCTCCACATCCTGCTTTATAGTCCACTTTGCTATACAATGAAAATCCATGTATTGGTGTTGTAATCTTGCAAGGAATACCTAAATCATGTAACAAAAAAAAATTAAAGTTCCTCTTGAATCCAACAACAACAACAAAAACATGTACAGTATAATCCAACAAGTGGAGTCTCGAGAGGGTAGTGTGTACACGACCTTACCCCTACCTTCCGAAGGTACAAAGATGTTTCTGATAGACCCTCGGCTCAAGAAAAGCATAAATACAACAATTTTGAAAAAGAGATATGATAGTGAAGAAGCAATGGAAAGAAAAACAGTAATAACAGCCAAATAAGTAAGATAATCGAAGCAAACGAAATATGCATGTAATAATAGAAGTCTAAGAAATGAAGTTTATATATTGGTATTGGTGAAAATTAACATTAGTTGTGAACAATGACAGAGCCAGTAATACATACAAGGGAATTCAAAAAAATACTAGGATATCACACCTAGAATTTGAACATGTGACTTAAAAAGCAATTTTTAACTCTAAATCCATATGTAATCAAAATGAATCATTCCCCCATTTATACATGCAGTATAATTTTTAGGCGGGAATTTAATTAAATCTCTTCATTGATACCTACCTTTGCCACTGGTGTTGAATTACCACTATTGCAGATATATATATATATATTTAAAAGAGTTTAACATCCATACACTAACAATACTGTGAAAGAATCTTACACTAGCAAATCGTCACTATAAAAAGTGTGATTAATACGCTGAAAAATAAGGCATATTACTAGCTACAACATGTTAAAATAACTAAGAATATAAAAAATACTTTGCAATGTCGATGCATATAAGTTAAAATTCGACTAAGCTCAAATATTAAATTTTAATTTAATTTTTATGAATTTCTTACCTGCATAATTGCCAATCATGGCACTGGAGGCATTAGCATGAGGTCCAACAACAGCAATAGTTTTAACCTTTTTAGAATTCAAAGGCAAAACTTGATCTTCATTTTTAAGAAGAACAATCCCTTCTCTTGCTGCTTGTGTTGCTAACTCAATGTTTTCCTTAGAACAAATTTGTTCTTTTCCAAGTTTTTCAAATTTTGGAATACCATCAAAAAACCCTAGCCTCATTAGCACAAAATACAAATTTGTGAGAGATTCATCTATTTCTGATTCTTTTACTTTTCCTTGTACCACTGCATTCCCAGCATAATTTGTGTAAAAAAATTACTTTTTTCCCTTCATATTCATGTATATATTAGTTCGAGCCAAATACAATAAATTTAGTCGAAACAAAAAAAATTGGGTTCAGAATAAATGTAGTCTTATTATACGTATAAAATATAATTTTTTTCTTTATATATCTATACATAGTTCTAGTTGAAAACAACAAGTTCAGTTGAATCCACGTCAAAAAGAGGGGTGGTAAATATACCTGCTTTTAGACCTTGTGCAACAGCATCTTCAGGTTCATCTCCTAACCATTTATGACCATGAAGCATAACGTCAATGGAATCACAATCTGAAACTATATACCTGAAAATTATAAAAAGTAAAACAAGAAAAAACTATGAGAAATCATTAAAAGAAACTCTTTTATTTTGGAATAAATCAAACTTTATTAATTAATTATTACCCATGAAGATCCCAATCTCCTCTAATTTTGCCTTTTAGAAGCTTTGGATCAGCACATGCTGGGATTCCATTAATCCTATTATATGAGCACATAACACTTGTAACATCACCTTCTTTAACACACATTTCAAAGGGTTTAAGAAATGTTTCCATCATATCTTGCTCCGTCACCTTCACAAAATTACAAAAAAAAAAAAAAAAAAAAAATAAAAAAAAAAAAAAAAAAAAAAAAGGTAAGTACAACGGTTCATGCATAGCAGGAGCTCAGCGCAGCGAACGTTAATAAATTAGAGGTTAAGACTGATTAATTACCCGTGAATCGAAATGATAACGATCAACACCGAGCCAGTTATCAACATCATAAGCTGCATAATGTTTGCAACAAGCGGCTACTTTCAGAGGTCTCGAGTTCAAGTCTTTGGCGTTTTCCGTGCCCTCAACATCTTGTAATCCTCTAACATAATTAGAGGCATATTTTCCAACAACAAAAGGATCTTCTCCAGGTGTTTCTAAAACTCTTCCCCATCTAGGATCTCTTACTACATTAATATTTGGACTCCAAAATGTTAGACCAGCATGTCCTAGGTTAAACATAGCCCTTGCTTCTGTTGAAACAGCCTGCAAATTAAGTTTTTGTTATACATCATCAAAAAAGCTTTAAAAAAGGCAGTCCAACGCACAAAATATCCCACGTTCACATAGGGTTCGGAGAAGGGCCGCGCCCCAAGGAGATGTGATGTATGCAAGTATCAGTGGCTGATTCCATGGCTGATGCAATCAATAAAACTTAATACACAATTTTTTAGAAAATCATGGTAAATATATCTCTATGAAAATACTCCTTCTGGTTCCTTTTATTTGTATTTTAAACTATTGTCATATACATTAAGCAAATCATTTAATAACAATAATTATAAAGATATTTGACTAAATTATACAATTAAAAATAAAAACATAATTAATGCCTACTTGGTTTTCTAAAGCGACAAATACTTTTGAACAATTATTTTACTAATTAAAATAAATAAACTAGAGACCATGAATTGTAACAAACTTTTTAAAAATCAGTCCTATTTAGGGCATGCACTCAATCAAGTTAGTAGTATCAGCCAGGGCGAATTAACCATATAATCTATGAGTTCATGTGAATCTATATAGTAGCTTTTATATATATATATATATATATATATGACAATAAATCTATTTTATATTGTATACTGACTTGAGATCGTTATAAAAACTCATAAACTTCTCGCTTCTAAGCGGTCAACACACAAAGTAGTTTTTTATAAATAAAATATAGAGCTTTTCAAAACAACTAAAAGGAAAAGGGATTTAATTCAATTACCTGGCCTATTGCTTTCCACAATGACTCATTAAATGATGCAGTAGTAGTAATAACAGTAGGAAAACTTGTAGCCCCAGGAACAACTTTGTCAAAAAACGAAGCTAAACTATAATATTGTCCAACGTTAGAAACACCATGTAATGCCTCAGACCACCATTCATATTTAGGAAGACCAATTCTAGCAACTCCAAAAGCAGTATCTCCAATTTGTCGCGCTTTTTCAGACAACGTCATTCTGTCGATCAAATCCTTAACCCTAACCGCGTAGGGAAGGGACATGTCACAGTACGCGAAATCATTCATGTCCAATCCCAACTTTGCAAACCTCGACGTGTCACAAACACGTCGAGTTTGATTATACGTGAGATCATTGAGGGCCGTGATTGAAGAATTGTATGGAATATTTCTAGCAGAAATTCTTGAAATGAGAAAGGAAAAAATTAAAATGGTGAAGTAATGAAGAAAGCTAAATTTCGCCATTTTTCTTAGTCGTTTTTGTGTTTTTTTCAAGTTGATGAAAAAATTGTGATTTTAGAGGAGTTTATATAGATGATAATAATTTGGATAAGTGACAGTAAAAATACAAACTTTGATAGATTAATATCCTGTATTTTAAAGTTATCATTCTGTTAGTATTTGATAATGCTATTATCAAGATAACATATAACTAAGAAATCTTTCACACGATAAGGCTGTATTTTTCAACTTCTTTTCTTTATTTCTTTGATTAATGTTGTGATAATCAATCACTGCTAAAATTTTAATTAAGACCAGCGATTAATATTAAGTCTAAAATTTTCTGACATGTTTTATGAGACTCAACATATGCTTTGAAGTTTAATTGGATGAATTTTTTTATGTACTTGAGTTAATTAAATTATAGTTTTCTAAGCATGTATTGATTTGATATCCAGTATCTATTTTCCTTAAATTCTAAATATCCTATATTATTATAGTTGGCGGCAGATGAAGATCATTTTGACGTGTATATATAGTGGAGTCCAATTTCCTGCATTATCTCATTTCGAAATACCTTTTTTCGCGGGAAATATTTTACAAACAAAATCTTTTTTCCAACAGTAATTTTAACACACCTAAATTGAATTGAATTGTATCAAATCCATCTCTCTTAAGATATGTACAAATCGTTTGAATTTTGATAAGTCGTGGCTAAAGCATACTGTATATGCTATGAATTGGAGCTTCAAAATAATTAATTACACAAATTCTATCAGATTAATAACTAAAAAAAGGGAAAAGAAGAATGTGATAAAATAAAATAGTAAATAAATAGGATGGAGTCAAAGAGAGAGAGTCGATGTAAGAATAAAAAATATAGAACTCAAAATTACTATATATCGTTAACAAAAGTGTTTTGAACATAGAGCCGTCAAAATGAGTTTGACTCGTAAGGTAAACCCAACCCAATTTGCTAATTGGACTAAAGTTTTTCTAGCACTTTTAAAAGTAAGGGTTATAAGCCTGACTCAGGTTAGCTTTGTGCCCTTGAGGTTCGACTAAGGCTGTGCCGAGGCCAGCCCGGGGGCCAAAAAGAGTTTAATTTAAATCTATAAAATTTAACCAATTATTCTTTTGAGTTGAGTTATTTATTTATTTATTTATTATTTTTTGAGTTGAGTTGTTGGAATATGATTTTTTATCTCCTAGTTAGAATTAGTTGTTGTGTTTCTTTACTGTCTCCGTACTTTGTTGACACGACAAAATTTATTTTAACAAAATAGAAGAATTCAGTTCATGTTGATTTATTGGAACCGTTCAATATCTTTTTTTCAATTTACCATATTCCATATGTATGTAACTATTGGGCAGGTATATTTTGATTTGCATCGGTCCATGGTTTAGATTAAGGTTTCTATTTGTGAAGTATCTTTTTCTTATTTCGATTATTGATTGGTAATTTCTTAAAATTAGCTAACAACTTCAAAGTTGTATTAACAACTAAATCCCTCTGTTTGCAAATAAAGTCGACTTTCCTGAATACAAAAGTTTTATGTAATACTAACATATTATCTTTTAAAAATTTATGCTTTTGCAATTTTTACTTACTTATACATAGAGGTGCTTATCGGACGGATAATTATGCTTAACGGTTCGACTTATCGATTATCGGATTATAATGTAGTAATCCGCTAGCCTCTCTACCAAGAGGTTGTGAGCATCCTCCACTTCCAACCAAAATGTTGTGAGTTCGAGTCACCCCAAGAGCAAGGTGGAAGTTCTTGGAGGGAGTGAGTCGAGGGTCTATCGGAAACAACCTCTCTACCCCGGGGTAGGGGTACGGTCTACGTATATACTACCCTCTCCAGATCCCACTAGTGGGATTATACTAGGTTGTTGTTGTTGTTGTAATCCGCTAGCCATCCAATAAGACAATGGGCGGATTGGTATCTGATTAATAATTATTGGGCAGTTTATCGACTACCAAATAGAATTTTTTTGAACAATCAATACCAAACGACCAAATGCATAGTTCAAACTGTCTCTTTTAGTTTTTGAACAATCAATACCATTAGCATTGTTATCCACAAAATAATTAGAAAACCCCATTTGCAGACAAACTTCAAACTGTAACTATAAGTGAATTAATGAAACAAACCTCAGTTAAGTAAAATGGCCAAGAGAGGAACTCAATTCATGTCCACTCATAATTCATGAGAAGCCAGAGACGACTGCCATTAGCTACAGATTGTTCTATCATTATATGTACAATTACTTATGCAACAATGTAGTAACAAGTTTATATAGATAAGGGTAAGAGTGTAAATATAAAAGATTTCTTAACGGGTTAACGGCCTAGAGAGGAACTCAATTCATGTCCACTCATAATTCATGAGAAGTCAGAGACGACTGCCATTAGCTACAACTAGTTCTGTAATTCTACATACAATTACTTATGTAACAATGTAGTAAAAAGTTTATATACATAGGGGTAAAAGTGTAAATATAAAATTTTTAACGAGTAATCCACCCCCAAACCGTTACGCCGTTAACTATAAAATCTCATTTCGTTCACTATCCATTACCCCGATAATTCGATATCAATAAGCCATCGATTCGGTTCGGTCAACGGTTTCGATTCGATTTTGAACAACCCTACTTATACATCATCATATGTATTAGAAATATTAACAAATGTGCAGAATTTTAGGTTTGAATTTAGATTGTAAATTTCTTTTAAAAAAAGAAGAATAAAAAAGATGAAGCGCTAGCCCGACTAGCTAGCGGCCCGTTTAGGACTGAGTTGGGCTGACTAATTTAAGGCTCTTTCGAAAGTAGAGTTGGCCCGTTCTAGCCATCAAAATTTATGGCCTATGTGACCTCGGATGAGTTAGCCCATTTTAACAGCTCCACTTGTACGTAACTCCAACGATAAATGGATGGGCTTCAAGTGACAGAATTAACACATATAACCGCCCACCTAATTTCTTAAACTATAAATAGCCGGTGAATATATAATATATGTACAATTCATGTATAATATACATATAACTACATATAATCAATGTATAATGTATGTATACTGTCTATAAAAGGTAAACATTGAATCTAGCCGGCTATTTGGGTAACATTCCCAAAACATATATGTACCAAATTATCCCTTAACTTTAATTATAATTTAAAATTACCATTAGATAAAAGCTCTGGTATGGGTAGGGATATCAATGGTTCGGTTTAATTGGTTATTTAAAGTTTGTACCATACTAATTTTTTGGTTACTCTATTATGGGTAACTAAAATTAGACTTTTCAAAACCGTCTCAATCATCTCGGTTTCTCCCTAGAATCGGTACAATTCGATTAATCTTCAGTATTTTTTAAATATCATATAAAAGCCGTTAGTAGAAGCTAGATCACGATAATATACATACTTGTATATGAGTTGGCAAAAGTCTCAAGATATTTTTACTATTTAAGGGGTGATGAATCAAGAAAACATGAAAGATGGTCAGAGTTGGGATCCATCCCACTATTCTACAAAATGTAAAAGAAATTAAGCAAAGATAAAAAAAATATAAATCACATGGGTGGAAAGATATTAATCAAACGGGGAGTCAATAATAAGGTCTATAAAAAATTAAGTATTCAAAAAGACAAATCTAGATCATACGAGAGAAAATATACTCAATATATTGTAGTTCTCCACTCATAATCACTCGAATACCTTATGGCTTGTTACTCAAGATGTTAAAACTAATTTAGTTTCACTAGGAGTATCAGCATAGGTTTGGGAGTTGAAAATTTGAATTGTAATTATTTGTTGGCTTGTAATCGATTTCATAAGAAGAAGTAACCCAAATAGCCGCCCACTCAACCGCTTAAACTAAAAATAGTCGGTAAAGGTATAATATGCATAATATATGTATTATATATATATATATAAATAATGTATAATCTATATATATGGTTACAAAAAGTAAACAATGAATATGACTCGCTAGATCCCTTTTCATAATCCTAAGGCCCAAGAAAGAAATATAATGCTTTATTTTTTAAAGTTAATATATTAAATCTATTTTTCATATGTAAATTTAGGGTTGAAGTCGAGTATTAGGGTTGTAGGTTAGGAGGTAGTTGAGTTGTGCCTTACTTCGTACCATGGTGGGACTAGCCATGTAGGATTTTTGTCTGAGATAGCTAGTGTGAATGTTGTGGCTTACTATTTCGCTTTTCAGTGCATGTCCTATTTACTAGCTATCGCTTTTGCTTTGCATCTTTCTTCTAGATTTCATGGTGTTCCTATTTTTCTTATGACTGTTGTAGTGATACTAATATTTACTAATATTGTCTCCCTTTGCTTTGCATCTTTCTTCTGGATTTCATGGTGTTCCTATTTATCCTATGATTGTTGTTGTGATACTAATATTATCTCCCTTTTTGTCCTTTTGTCTTTTTTGTTTTTTGAGCCGAGGGTCTTTCGGAAACAGCCTCTCTACTCCTTCGGGGTAGGGGTAAGGTCTGCGTACACACTACCCTCCCCAAACTCCATTAGTGGAATTTTACTAGGTTGTTGTTGTTGTTGTTGTTGTTGTTGTTCATATGTAAATTTATTCGGTATAATTCAGTATCTTTTTGGCTTATTTTTATAAAATAAAATTTTATCCTAATCATTCGGTACCGTTATATCCCCGTCCCTTTTTCCTTCCTGAGCCGAGGGTTTTCCGAAAATAGCCTCTCTGCCTTTTTAAAGGCAGGGTAAGGTCTGCGTACACTCTACCCTCCTCAGACCCCACTCGTGAGACTACGGTGGGTTTGTTGTTGTTGTTGTTGTTGTTGTTATATTCGGTACAGTTATAAATTTATATAAAATCTACGATTTTATTAGAAAAACCTAATAACCATTACAATTAGGTTGGGTTAGTTTACTCGATTTTTAAATGTCAAATATATGGGTCAAGGATAAAAATAAGGGTTTTTTCACTTTTTCCCCACACCAAAAACTATTTACATTCAGTAGTCGAAAATGTGTATAAAATTTGTATAAATTTTGTATATAATATACCGAATGTATATATATACAAAAAAAAATATTTTTTCGATTACAATTATATTAAGAGCGGCTATATAATGTCGTTTTCACATTTTATATTTTCTCAAAGCCCGGATAAGAGTAGACAAAAAATTTAGGCAGACAAAAGTGCTCAATTTTGAAAAATAGAGTGGCAAATCTGACACTTTTTCCATAACTTTAGTCGAGAAAACACCACCCACAAAATAACCAAAATCTAGCCAACATAGGAAGAACTGTAGAAATTCCCCTAAAACCCTAAAACTCAGCCAAGTTCGGATCCTAAAACGGATCAGTGCATTCAACAGTATAAATCCCTTCGAATCTCCCGCACTAAAATTCTCCAGCTTCGATTTTTCGATTTGCATTGGCTGTCAGCTCTGATTTCGGGTTTTTATTTGACCCGTTAATGGAACAGCGAGTCTTGTCCACTCTAATCGGAGTATCAGTTAGCAAAAGAGCTGATTTATTGAGTAGCTTAGTCACAATTAGATCTCGCCCAATGAGGTAAATGCTAGATTTGCTTTAAATCTATGTATTGCTGAGTATGAGGAATTTGTGTGTTTTGTAGGGTAGGAATTGTTGTGTCTATGGTGTTAGCGTCGGTAAAATTATTTTTAGATAAATTTGGTTAACGAACAAAATCACAAAACTACACGCGCAAAGAAACAAAAAGGAGGAACAAGATGAAGAAAAAGAATATGCTCCGGGCTTTTGTCTAGTGGTAAGAGTGCAACGCATGATGTATTGGTTAGGCGCACATCTCGGGTTCGAAAACTGCCACTGAAAGAAGCTGGGTATAAGTGGAAAAGGTCAGAGAGGTGGACTCATTATCCACTAAGTTGCGATCGTTCACCAGTATCCCAAGGGATTTCTCAGTTATTTAAAAAAAGATGAAGAAAAAGAATAATGGAAATAAAGTGGAGTGAATTATTGAACCCAGCTGTGATGGGTGGGTTATGTGCATGTCGTGGGTTCTGACCTGCCATAGACAAAAGCCTGGTGTTTAAGGTAGAGGGGCGGGTCCATTTTTCACAACTATGCGCCGCTGATCCTGGGATTGATCAGTTATAAAAAAAGAAATGAAGCAAAAGGAATAATGGAAAGCGAATTAAAAAGAAATAAATATTTTCAAGTGGATTATATATTCATTGATAAATATTTTCAAGTGGATTTTATATTCATTGTTTTAGTTTTCTAACAAAAATAAAAGACTCCACTTAGGATTGAGCTTTAATATCATTGCTTACATGTTTCAAAGAGTAATGTTGATTATTCTAATTTGTCACATCTTTAATGCAGTCCAGATGAGGGGATTGATTTTTCTCACTGCAGTCTCAATAAGCAAAACTTTGACATTACCTCATCACACAAAGAGCAGACGGCAGAGACGGCAGAGAGACGCCTGCCAGAGGAACCAAAACCGGTAGATAGCCCGGAGACACCACCTCAGTTCTTCAAAGTTATCCTATCTCCTCATGCCTCTAAATTAGTAAGTTCTGCAAATTGTGCATTTTCATCTTATATCTTTTGTTTCTGTTTCTAGTTGTATGGCTTTTGTTCTCTTCATTTGTTCTTTGGTAGTGTTTTCTCTTCTTTAAGTTTGTGTAGATTTTTAAGTTTTTGAATTCCCCTTTTGGTCTGTAACAAATAGTTTCTTGTCATAAGTAGGAGTATTTCGTCTAAAGCAATGTTGCTAGTAGGGAAGGTGATGGGGATTGCCCGCATTTTCTCCTAATCAACATCTTGTGTGTGGATGATCTTAAGAACGCCTGTAATTTTATGATACATTTGAATTCCAACTTTATTTTCGGAAACTTAAGTAGGACTAATACGTTGATTTACAAGTGTACTACTGGAGTGTGTCTACTTTTCTGGTACTGTCATTTTCTGTAATGAAACAACAACGAACTCAGGGAGTGAAAAATGTGATTTCAAATGGCATAAGAGGGAGATGCAGTAAGGAGCTTTCTTTTGATTATGAATTTGTTATGAATAACTTTGTTGGGGGGGGGGGTGGTAGGCCAATCCCATGTCTTGTTCGAATGGTAATTGCTAAATAATTAGCCAACTTTTGATATTAGAACAGCTCCTCTCTAACTCCTACAGTTTTGAAATTTAGCTGATTTCAGAAGTTCCTCTTCACGCAAGGTCTCGTGCAGAAACTGATAATATATGTGTGGTCTCCATAGTTGTCGAAAGAGACCAGGGTCTGTAGTTGGAGATGTTGCAAAAGGAATGATATCAAACTTCCAAAACTCCAAACTCATGGCTGATGCTGCAATATTTAAAAGCAAGTCATGTAATGTGTCTATGATTGCCATGCCTGTCAATTAGGTCTTCAAAAGGTGCACGAGTGGATTCTCGACATAAGCATTTTAGCATAATGACATTGTCTTCATATGATTTAGGTATCTAATGTGTCAAATTAAATGGGGTTAGATAAAGGAGGGTTCTTGAGGGTGTGGAAAGCTTGAGGATCAGAAGGTATTTGTCAACAGTGTTATCAAAGGCGAAAAACGCAAAAAAGCTCTAAGGTCTGTTGGGGCTTTAAGCGCAAAGCGCAAATAAAGTGTGGGCTTTAATGAAAAAAGACGCAACTGGAGAAAAAATAAAAATATGTATATGTAGTCCAAGACTATTAATTATAAGCATGAATAACAAATATATGGACAAGAAAATTGAATTTTTTTTTACGATAAAGTGAAATATCAATTGTTTAATGTCGCATTCTCAGGATTACACTCATTGGCAAGGAAAAGTATGCCTTAGAGCCTTGATGCGACACTAAAGCGCCCACAAACCGAGGCGAAGCGCTCAACATGTTTTGAGCCTCGCTTCAGGGCTTAAGCGCTCTTTAAGCGTGCCTCTGACAATACTGTTTGTCAAACCTTAATTTGAATGTAAATCAGTCTAAAAAAGATCCCTGGTTTGAGCAGTAACAAGAATGAATAACATCAATGCTTTGAATTGAAGAAATTCAGAATTTGAAAGGTTTCTGCTCTTGTTAGCATTTGATTGCATAAAACCCTTGATCAGCTTTGCCAGGAAAAGGATATCGACTAAAAAGAGGATTATTAACAATGGACAAGCCTTTTGGGCCTTCATCTTTTATCTCTTTTGGTTGGCCAATAACTAGTTTTGACTTTCATGTTTGATCTGTTCTGGTTGACCAAAATACTTTCCGTAAGGAAAAATAAACTGAAATAAAAGAAGTTTAAATTTATATCTCATGCATAATTGTCCAAAAAAAAATCTATATTCTCATGCATATAGAACTCATTGAAGTTGAATCAACAGTAGCAATGCAGCATTGCTGCAAATAGTTATTCGCTGAGAAAACTCTAGTGTTTGTGCAAATAACTTTACGAGTTTTGATATTGCTAATAAACAAACGCTCATCATCCACCAATATATCTGATAAGAAGCCAGCACCAAGATTAACAGCATACGATGGAAAAGAAATGCCAGCTTAAGCAAATGAAATGAAAGCTTCACTTGTGCGACTTGATTGAGAGATACTAGACTTGAACTTACTAGGCACTTTCAGTATTTGTTTTTTGTAAAGATACAAGATTTCCTACTTAGTATCTTGCTTTTTTCTTTCTCCTTTCCAGTAGCAATATGTGGTTTGAAATTTGACTACAGTTTCTTCAGCTGTCTTAGACCAACTTTTTTGTCTGAAGGTTCTCTTTTCTTTCTGTTTGTTTTCTACTGTTCTTCTCTTATGTTTATTCATCTCTTTCAAATTTTGGTATCCTCAGCACATCCCAGATGAATTTGTAATGGAGTACGGGGTGGATCTGCGAGATGTTGTGTCGCTTGAGGTTCCAGATGGCGCAATGTGGAAAGTAAAATTGCAAAATTGTAGTGGCATGGCATGGTTAAAGGAGGGTTGGAACCGATTCAAGGAGTACTATTCAATTGGTTGTGGTTACTTTTTACTCTTCCGATATAACGGAAATTCCCATTTCTCTGTGTTTATATTTGATTTAAGTGCTTCCGAGATTGATTATCCTCCTGGCCCAAATGAAGATGAGATTTCTCCTGGTCTAAATGAAGATCTGACACCAGAGATTTCTCCGGGCCCAAATGAAAATTTGGCGCCTGAGAATTTATGTGTTGTGGCTGAGCCAGAGGAGAACCCCTTAACTTGTCAAGAAAATAGTTGTGCGGAGACGTTACTGATGATATCCCAGCCATCAAGGCCAAATGTATAGATATCTTGAAGGCCATTTTTCCTCTTGCTTTCAAAGCTGCACGATGCAATTTTTTGTAAGGATTTAAGTTACTTGAGGGGAGCCTTGGCGTAACTGGTAAAGTTGTTGCAATGCGACTAGGAGGTCACGGGTTCAAGCTGTGGAAACAATCTCTTGTAGAAATACATGGTAAGACTGCGTACAATAGACCCTTGTGGTCTGACTCTTTCCCGGATCCCGCGCCAGAGGTGTATCCTGCTTGAGGGGTATGTGTTCACGTGAACGCATACTCCTTTCCCTAAACCATGTATAATAATGTTATATTTTTTCAAAATTACTTAAATATATGTATGTGCATCCATGATCAAAGACTCTTATGGTGTAACTATTATTGGGTGAACCTTTACAAGTGAAATTGGTGGTTCAAATCTCACTCCGAACGGTCTTGTTTTCATCATTGAGTATAAATATTTGAAAATTACTAAAATTTCAAAAAGAATATAATTTTGAACTTATAATTTCAAAAATGTAGTGGGTTCATGGTAAGAGACTGAAGTTAAATCCGTCAAATGTAAATTCTAGATGCACTTCTTTACAACAGTGCACCCATCCTCTTGAAATTCTGGATTTGCCTCTGCTTCGCTCGTAGGGGAGCTTAGTGCACTGAGCTGCTATATAGGATCTAAGTATATACACTAATATTAAAAACATTATTTACGTTATCGGTGAAGTTCAATATATATTTGCAGGTTAGATGCCATTTTTAACCGAGCTACTAATTAATAATGCTTATTATCGGTGAAGTTCAATATATATTTGCAGGTTAGATGCCATTTTTAACCGAGCTACTAATTAATAATGCTTATTATCGGTGAAGTTCAATATATATTTGCAGGTTAGATGCCATTTTTAACCGAGCTACTAATTAATAATGCTTATCATAGAAATCTGCTTGCGTTATATCTTATAAGTATTTTGAATGTGCAAAACTTTTATATCATGTAAACTTAAACTCTTAGTATTTATAGAGATACTTTATATGTTTTTTGCCAAAAAAGTTGTATAGATATCTTTATGGTGCTTACTTGAGTTCCCTGTTATTTTATATTGAAGTTATTTGAGTGACTTATTTATTCTTTCACATATTAGTCGTTGGCAACACAAATTTATTCAAAAACATATTTGTGTTGTAGAAAAATAACAGCATTTGTTACATTTTCTCCGGTACACCCTTATTGCTCCAATTATTTGTGTGTGATTTAAGTGAGACATTTAAGAAATAGATAAATGATAATTTTGACAAACACTCTTATAATCAAGGTTATTAAATACCCTTAAGTGCGCAATATTTTTTTATTTAAAAAAAGACCAGATAATATGAACCATAAGTAATATAATTTTACTTTTAGTATTGCAGTTCGATTTGTAAAATTTTAATTATCGCAAATGTTCCTAGTGAGATAGGAGTATAATACAATGTATCAAGCAAACACTTGAAAATCTGATTTATTATAAAATGACAAAAGCATCAACTTCAAAAGTCGAACTTCATATAAACTTAGTCGTTGATGGAAGTCACAAACTAGATTTTAATAAATAAAATGACAAAAAAGAACTAATCACTACCTATCCTTTTCAAACCCTATTTGTTCCAATAATACTGCAAACACCTGTATCTAATTTTCAATTTAAAAAGAAAAAACAAAATAAAACAGAACAATGGAAACATGTCATATTCCACCCCCTAGCTCGTTCCCCACTCACATTTACATCACTAATTTTAATCGGAAAAGAAATTAAAAAAAAAGTTTAGAATAAGATAACCAAAAAATAAAAATAAGCTATTAAAATTTTCTTTTTTTTCATGAATATTTTTTTTATAACCATTCGATGTTCTGTACTCAGTGGCGGAGCTAGGGAAAGGGAGGTTCGGATTGAGTGGGTTAATTTACGAAAAAATAATAGTATATATAACATTAGTGTTATATTAGTATAATAGATGCTTGGATTCTTCGCTTGTTCACATTTTTTTTTTGAATTACTTTCGAGAAAATCTTTCCTCCGTCTCAAATTCAGGCCTTTACGGTTCATTAGTCGGAAAAGTGCTCTCTAGCACGAGTTTCTTATTTTCATGACCCGAACCCAAGAAGCTGAGATATTTGACTAAGGGTGAAAAGATTAAAAATTGTTGATGATCTTAATGAATGTCTTAATCATTAGTTAATCAATAGTTTACTACTCTAATTTAGAGCTTCATAATGTTGATTAATTATCACGTGAGACGTGGGCATCTTGAAATCCTCAATATTTTATTCGTTATTCTTCCGTACACGTGTCAATGATCTGTCGATTGCCAGGTCATCAATGCATGAGCGAAAATGACATAAGGGATTGAGTACTTCTAGCCAATAGTATGTGTCCACGTGGCTATTTTTAATTTGGGGTGATACTGTTAGCCTACGACGCGTGTGTAGAATGTGTATGGTCCACCACTATTTACGTAATATTGGTGGGTCCCACACATGTAGAATCTTGTTTGGCCGACACTACTTTGAGATAAAAGTCGAAAGTAATACTTTTATTTGTAATTAAGTGCCTATGGTTTAGAGTATCTATGGATTTGGTCCTTCTTGTCAAGATTTAAGTTATTACATGAGACTGACAAAATAATTGTTTTTTGTAATATCGGTTCAATATTATTACTTTATTTTTAAAAAAATACACACGAAGAAATAAAAGGGATTCAACATCTAATATATTTAACTAAAAAAAACTTTTTAACCTTATATACACAGTATAATTTTTCCGCAAAGGAAGATCTCTTCTGCCATCCTAGCTCCGCCCATGCTTATTAGTGTTCAGTAAAGGTGGATGTGAGGGTCAATTATGAGTTCATTCAAATCCTGTAACTTCGATCTAGACTCTGTATATATGCTAATAAAATTGCTAAATTAGTACAAATAATTAATTTTTAAACTCAGTAAATCAGATGAGTTGTGATGAAATTTAAGCATAAAGTCCAAATTTTAAATCCATTAAAACTCATGCACAAGATATTTTAATTTTCGAATATAGGCTTTTCAGTCTAAAAAGTTGAGTAGATTTAAAGTTAAATTTTCTCGAATATACCAATAAGCTAGATTCATATTGTAAGTTAGTTCATGCCATAAATACATTCGGATATCGCCGCTAATGTATACCTAGAACTTAAACTCATAGGAATAAACCTCAGAATATACTACTACTACAACAACAACAACAACAATAACCCAGTATAATCTCACTATAGTAGGGTATGGGGAGGGTAGTGTGTACGCATACCTTACCCCTACCCTGGGGTAGAGAGGCTGTTTCCGATAAACTCTCGGCTCCATCCCTCCAAGAACTTCCCACCTTACTCTTGGGGTGACTTGAACTCACAACCTTTTAGTTGGAAGTAGAGGATGCTCACCACTAGAGTAACCCACTCTTGTCAAACCTCATAATATACTATAGTTGATAATCCACCCCAAGAATGGAGGCATGGGTAAATAAAGATTTTTGCATATAATCTGAGGAAAAAACTTCAATTAACATTAAATGAGGGAGTCAACTAGAAATTTGCAAAAAAGATCCAAAAAACTCATCATAATCAGCCTAACACCACTTTTTCTTTCTCGAGTTGTATATTTCTTACTTTATTTAGCTGTATATGTAAATTATGGAACCATCACTTCAAACCATAGTACAAATTTCTTGAACTCTTTTCATTCCTCAATTACTACTCCAACGTGCATGTGTGGCTCATATCACTTTTGACCATTCTTTAATTAATTTTACCCTAAAAAAAAAATCAAGATTATGTTGCTCTTTATTTCTTTTTCACCCTTCTATTCTCCTTTTGTCCTTCCTCCTCCTCCACCATCATCTTCTTCTTATTCTTGATCCTACAAGAAATTAACAAGAATCTTGACATGTTGAATGATCAAAGAGCTCTAGTCATAGCAAACACGAGCAACAATAACAGCCACAACAACAACAACAATAACATAGAAACTGATCACGGCGATCAACATGATGATCAAAATCAAGATCAACGAGACGATCATATTAGAGACATACATGCTCTAACACCACCAAGGCAACCACCATCGACGAATATTAATCGTAATCGTAGAAGAGAAACTTGGGAAACAAGTAGCCATAGATCATCATCTTTGTCCTCAGAAGGAGGAGCTCCAAGTGAGAACTTTACAACCATGAGTAGAGAGTTCAATGCTTTGGTTATAGCTGGATCTTCAATTCCTACTACTACAAATAACAATGGTACAAGTCATGAAGCTGAAGGTACAAGTCATAACAACTTGGGAAGGATTTTTGAAGAGGAAAATATGGAGGAAAATAATCCTTTAGCTATTGTAGCAGATAATAATAATATTCATTTGGATCCAAGTCCTTCACCTAGAGCACATGGTACTACTAGTGGGACTAGTGAAAGTTCAAATATGAGTGTAAACCAATTACAAGGAGAAGTGACAGTACATAGGGTGAAAAAAGAGGAAGTTGAATCAAAGATTAATGCATGGCAAACTGCTAAAATTGCTAAGGTTAATAATAGGTTTAAGAGAGAAGATGCTGTAATTAATGGCTGGGAAAATGAAGAGGTCCAAAAGGCAACTTCTTGGATGAAGAAAGTTGAGGTATGTACTCCCGATTTCTCCGTCTATATTATCTGTCTTTTAAGGTTTTTTTCGCAGCCCCTTAAGAGTATTTGTCTATCATTATCTCTCCCTTAAATGTCTAAAGTTAGATTTGAAGAAAAACAAAATAGCAATAAATGACAACATTTGTGTTTATGAAATTATCTGCACCCCTGTCAAGATATTTTCACTTTTATTTAGTTTTTCATCCCGATTATTCTTTCATCATTCCTCTAAAAAGAAAAAGAAATCCCATCTGCCTCTAATTGGGGTTGTGGTAATTTTTTTTTGTTATTTATCGTCTCTATAATAGGAGTTATATATTGAATTTTGAGTTATCTGTCGCCTTTAATCATGAGAGGTTTTGAATTCGAGTTTTGGAAATAAAAGAACTACTAATAGTGAGTGATTCCTACTTTAATAGATCACATACTGTACAATCCCAATTAGTTGGGCTAATAGGTTTGAAATACATCCAAATGGTTAAAAATATTTTATGTTGTATGCACTTCTATATAAATAATACTAACATATATTAAAGCACGCGTAATAAGTTTTTACATCGTCAGTGTAATTTAATTTGTTATAACAAGTTACTTAGCAATTATAAATAGAGTGATCTACAATTACATATTAAGTAACTTAATTAATATATATTATACTGTCAGTCAATAAAACTTAAACTCATAAATAATAGAACTCCTGTAGCATTTTTAGACTCTACAGTAAACCGTAAACAGAATTACATAATTGAAT